CAGAGTGTAAGTTGCACCACAGATAGAGATGAGCAAAACTCCTGTCCTCAGATCCCAGTTCTTGGCCCAGATGTGTTCCTCTGGCTGGATTTATCTGGTACTTCCATCCTTTTGGGGGTAATCTACTGTAGGAAGAGCCAGTGCTCACTGTCATAAGAAAAAAAATGCTTGTTCATTTTCCTTCTATGGCTGAGCTGAACCCTACCCAGTCTTCAGCATTCCATTTTCTTTTAAGTCTTTGTGAAACACCTCTTTGAAGGAGCTAACTTTGCTCCTGAAGAATGTGTCTGGCTGGCCTTTCTTATCTTCTGCTGCAGACAGAGAAACTGGAAGAACTGTCATTTTTTTCTGGGCTTTTTTCCCTGGGCTTTTTTTCTCTTATGTCACTAAATTTTTATACAGTTTTAAAGTGTTTATAATTCCATTAAAATTATTTTTAATTGTAAATTATATTTGTAAATTTTGTATATTATTTGTAAATTTGTACATTGTATTTGTAAAAATAAGTTCTTAGCAACAGGTAGGAGCATGGTTTAAATACTGTTGACTTGTGTAGCAGGCTGAATGAGATCAATAAAGATGCACATCATTAAAAACATTTGAATCAGCCATAATGTGAATCTATTTGCAGTGTTCCATTCAGGCCTTGCAGGGTCATTGATGTGGGATTACTTTTTATTTTTCTGGATTTGTACATTCACTTAATGTGGTTTGCACCTGCAAGAAGAGCTGCTACAGAAATAACCCCTCTAGTACTAGTAATAATGAGCACAAGCTCCATCCAGTGAGCAAAAAAAATCATGCTTGCTTCTTAATTTAGCTGCTGGTTTTGTTCGCAACGTGGCTGATGTTACTGTGAGGTCCAGAGCCAGTGAAGTTTCCCTGAGGCTAAATCAGTAGTAGTTTGTTTGCAAAATGAAGGTTGGGATTTTGCAAAAGTTGTTTCGATGACTTGACAGTTGAGCTTGAAAAGTCTTAAGTCTGTGGTTCTACTTAAATGTATTGAGCTGAGACACAGCCATAAGTACAGCAGAAAAACAACTCCAGGTTGTAGACTAGGACTGTGTTATCTCAGGCTCTGTACAAATCCAGAACACAAGATTGTCCCTGTCTGGAACAACATGGCTTATTTTCCTTCTGACTGGGAAAGCTTTTTGTCTTTTTAAAGGCTGATCCAAGTATAAGATATGATCATCAAGTGTTAATCATCAGTCTGGTGATGCTATGGGGTTACTTTGGGGCTTGTGAAGGAACAATACCAACTGGAATATTACTCTTGAGTTCTAGAACCTGTTGATGCCTATACCTGTAACTGTGAAAACTTGGTATTTCTGTGCTTAGCCTAGTTATACAAGTGGGTCTTAATTGCTCCTAAATTCACCCCCCCAAAATAATCACACATAGTGAGCAGTGCCCATTTAATTCTCTGCACAATTGTTACTATGCACAAAACCTGAAATTAATTGTGAAGCTTCTGAGTGACTGTTCAAAACTCTCTACTTTCCATTCTCAGAATTAGTGATTGTGGTTTTAAACCCACTGTAAAATTGCTAGGGGATGGCAGTGGCATTGTATACTTTTGGATGCACTCACATTTGCATTCTGGTTCAAGTTATTTTCTTTGGAAAGGTGTTCCACCTCTGGTGCTTTGGCTCACGTCACAGAGCACTCTGCATGTTGTTCCTTCAGATGAACCTACACCAAAGGCTGCCTCCAGGGCTGCTTCTACTGTGCTGCTGCTGGCTTCCAGTCTACAGGGCTTACTAGAGGCAGCCTGAAAGAATCCCTCTTGAAATAGGTAGAGTGTTGATGTCAGGTCCTCAGCACCAACTGTTTTACTTGGGAAAAAAAATCTGTTTGTGCTGGTCAGTATTTATTAGTTATATATATTGCCTTGGACTCATGTTAGTGCAAAAGCTGTGATTAGTAGAAGTTTGTGATCAGGAGAACCTACTCCATGAGTATTAGTAATATGCTGAAGTGTACTAGTAATATGCTGAAGTGTACGTGTGTCTATATCAATTTCTGTTTATTAAATCTGATACTTTTAAATATACATGAAATATGGCTTCATTTTTTCTTGGGAGTTTAGTGAACTGAATTTGGCCAGACCCATCTAGAGCCAGAGTTATGATTTTTTTTTTAAAGAAATTGAGATGCTTTTTTAAAAATTTGTTTGAAAAACAAGTCTCCTGAACTGTAGAAATAAGTCAATATTAATTAATTTTTAATTGTCCAATATTTTTTTATTAACATTAGATGAGGCTATAAGCAGTTGTAGAATGCCCTGAAAAAAATTTCACATAGGACTATGTCTTGATTTCAAATGAGAAGCGAGCAGTAACAAATAGAATATGACATATATTGAAAGATGTAAGTTGAAGTACTCAAAAGCTTTGTAGAGTTCTTCTGTTAGGTAATCTTTGTTTTTGAGAAGCAAAACCAACTAGGTTATCTTTGTAAAGAGCTCACTAAAATACCCTAGTGAGCTAGAGTGGTTTTTAAGGGGAAGAATTAGGTTATGCTTTGGAATAGGCAAGGAGAAGCAAAAAATGACAGTAATTGTGATCTCAGTAAGGTTTCCTTACTCATATGGAGTGGAAAAATTGTGATGATTCTCTTTTGAAAGGAGATGAATAGTAGAAGTACAGGAATAATCATGAAGTGGAACAGGTCAGTTTGCACATTAGGTACCAGTTTTTTTAAGAAAATTAAGGCTATTGCAGTTTATAGGTGACCGTTTTAAAAGTGAAAAAAAGGGAAGAAATTGTTATGGAACTATCCAGTGTAGCTCTATATTGTCAGATCTTTTTTCCATCAATGTGGAACCACTCTCAGGCTGGATATTGCTTTCACTGTCGATGCCTTTACAGACCTTAGTGACCAGCATTGTCTAATTCCTGATCTTTTCCTTTTTAAAATGTTTGTTACGTTTTTGTCCTGTTGGTCCATTACTGCTAAAACTTTCAGTAGGCTCAGATGCACATGACTCATCTTTGCTTTCAGTGTTTCCTCCCAGCTCTTTGATAACTACTTACTACATTCTCAGTTTTCTGGTGCCGTGATTTTTCCATTGCTGTCTGCATAGACCTTCACTCAGGCATCTTTATGGCTTTTTCCTCTGTTATCACATATATTTGAATATATGAATAAAAGTTCCTCTAAACATGCATAAAAATATTAACTTCAGATTCTTTCTAAAAGGTGGTTTCCTATGGTTTATGAGAAATCATGACAGTGATTAAGTAACCAGTGTACAAAGCAATTGATAATAATACACAATATGGATTCGTTTGCTGCCTTGTGCTGCCATTTCTGTTGGTTAGTGTAGTCTGGGTCTGTAAAATCTTTAGTGCTGGGATATGTTTCTGACCTGGGTTTGGATCTTAGTTTGTGATTACTGATGAGGAGATTACTATAAATGTAAGTTAAAAAGTGGGAAAATGATTTAATAGAACTTAGAAAACAATGTTCTGATAAGACATCTTGGCTTTTCTGTATCAGCATCTAACCTCACCACCTGCTGGCAGGGATAAAGAGTGTGTAACTGGTCAGAGGGTGGCCTGTCATCAGCTAATCTGGAATTCCCAGCACTTAACAAATTTACAGTGCTGGCAGAAGAGTAAGGCAAGAAGCTGGGTTGGCTGGAGGCTTATCTGGAGCCACGTCTGCTTTTAGATCTCTGAATGCACAGTTTTGGTGCAAAAAAAACTTCATGTATTTTCCCTGTGTGTCTTCATTTTGAATTTCATCAAGGGTATGTCAGTTTGCAACCTGAACCGGCTGTGGCTCAATGTATGTGACTGAGGGAGTTTTAGACAACCTGATTTAAGTGTCAGTAGCAAACTATGTGCAGCATCACAGAACGGGGTACAAGCTGCAACACCAGAATCAAAGAGTGGTTTGGTTGGAAGGGACCTTAAAGACCATTTTGTTCCAAACCCCTGCCATGGGCAGGACTAGAATAGGTTGCTCCAAGCCTCACCCAGCCTGGCCTTGAACACTTCCAGGGATGGAGGTGTTGCCAGCTTTTCTTGGCAACCTGTGCCAGTGTCTCACCACCCTCACTGTAAAGAATTTCTTCCTAACATCAAATATAGATGGTGTAAGTATATCTGTCAATGAAGTGGAGTTAAACAGAGCAGTCTCTTAGACTGAGCTATCAACTGTTCCTGGGTTTATATCAATAGTTACATGTTTTAATTCTGCCTGTTAATCTGATTTATCCATAAATGTCAATTCTAGGCCTACAAAAATTACGGGTAATTATGGATCACAAGAATGAAACGGTAGAGGAGAAATAATGGTGCCAGTCTGGGATAAAGATCACTTTAGAAGTCCCAAATTTGTAGATATTTTATTTCTATAATTAAAAAAATAAACTTGCAAAGAATGAACCGACCCCTGAGTCAGCAGGTGTGAAGCATCTTCACTTTACTCATATCTGTTTCTTTCAGTTGAACAGTTACATTTGTGAAGGGTTAACCCCAAGGATGGATGGTATAGAGGCTGCCTAGTGCGGAGCCCTAATTTCAAGGAAATTTTCATGTTCTGTTCTTTGAAGGGGTATTGACTTCCAAATCACACACCGACATGCCTCTGATCTTCCTGGGGATGAGTCACAGTGCAACGTGTATGTCGAAGCGCTGGGATCAAATCTGCAGTGTGTTGATCACTCCTGATGATAGGACTGGATGTTCTCTAATCCCATGTGTGGGGTTACGGAGCGTGCCTTATTAAAAAAGAATACTTAAAGCTATTAAAACCAGAATGCTGAGGGTTTTGTTGATTTGTTTGTTTTTTTTTTCATTAGTGCCCTGCTGTAGATTTTAAAGTACAATAAAGTAGCGAATGCTACCTTGAGCTTGGTGGCTTTAAATGCTGGGTTAATTTACACTCAGAGCGGAGCTTTCAGTGTCAGGCGATCTTTTTTTTTTTGCCAACATAAGCACTCAGCTGAAACAACAGCTATGACTCAGTTGACAGTGAACGCTGCTTGAATTGATTTAGTCCGAGTTCAGATTTAGCACATAATCATGTTCAATTTGATCCACCGTGCTGCCTAGAGATAAAAGGGTTGAAAAAATAGATTTAGCTTATGTCAGTCTTTGTGGTGATGTCATTGCCATGAGAGATGGAATAGCGCTGTTACTATGCTGTGCCTGCTCAGTTGGTGGGTGTACGGGGGAAAGGCAAGGAGCAACTCTCAGTTTAGTGCAAAGAGCTCGTGCCGGAAGCTTGCAGTCATTGAGACAGAATTTTGGACTGTTCAATTGCAGTACTGAACTGAAGATTTTTTTTTTTATTTATTTATTTTTTTCCTTCCAACCGTTTGTTACTCTGAGCTTGCCTAACTCTGTGTTCAAAGGCGGGGGATGCCAGCCCGTAGCATGGACTGTGATGTTTCCACTCTGGTTGCCTGTGGGGTTGATGTGGAGATTTTTGCCAACCAAGAGGTTAAGGTATGAGCCTTCAGTTCTTTTGTTACAGATGCTTCTTAGAAAAGCCTTTGGGAGCAATAGGCACTTGAATGTAGCCATTCAGAATAAGGAGGCAGATGAGATTCTGCTGCAGTAGTAAAAGACTTGCAGTTAAAAAAAAATCTGTTAATTAGGAGAGAGGAATATGGGAGAGGAATTGTGCCTGCTTTTTACTGTGTTTTGATAAGCTGAAAGAATAGGCTGGTGTTTACTCTTTAATGATATAAGAAATGGGTTATATAACTGACATCTGTGCATATGCATGTTTCATATTCATAAAAAATCTTTCATTGTTAATTTTGTCAAGTTATTTTTAGTCCAGTGTCACTTTTTAGATCAGTCTTGCCATAAATGTTATTTATCAATGCTGATAACCTTCAGATATTTTTACGCAGTTCAACAGTAGCTGTTTCTTTCCTTCAGATTCAAATCATGAGTGCAGGTATAAATTTTTGCAAAGGGTTAAAAGTTTGTAGCAAGTGTTTTGGTGCATCTGCAGTGTAACAGAACACAAAAAGTTGTGCATCTTGCATATCATATGATTACTTGATAAACAGTGCTTAAATCTAAGGTTGAGCTCATAGTCTCTTAATTAGACAACTGCTGTAGAAAAGTCATTGTGTGTAATTGCTTACTTTTGAAATCAATTATCTTTTTCATTTATTCTCATATTACTGCAAGAAAATCACTGCAAATTAAGTTTGAAAGAGGAATTTTAAGTATGCTTTTCACAGATCATCTGAAAGAGCTCACAGGCGTAATACAGTGTTATTCAGCAGTTTATTTAAAGGACAAAGGTACAGAGAAAATTAGTTTCTAATCTGATTGTTCTTAGTATTGAAAGAATGGAACAGGGTAAAAAGGATTTACAAATTGGAGGTCAAACTTTGAATCTCTGTTCTGTTTGATTCTGAATCAAACATTGAAGCCAGTGGAAATATCTGGAAATAAAACTACTTTGATTTGCAAGAGGTTATGATGATTTTTATTTCCCTGTTAGTTTCTTACCAGGTGAGATCATGTATAGTTTGTAAAAATGCTTTTGCGTTGGCAGCAAGAGATTCTTCTTAATTTAAGAAGCTTTTCCCTAGCAGTTTCATACTGGATTTAGAGATGAAATAGTGAGTAATTCAGAGGAATGATTCAGATGAGCAGTTTTGCCTGCACTGGGACATGTTTCCTGTATTATTTTGAAGTAGTAAAATGTTCATCTGCTTATTCCTCTTTTTCTTCTTTTTTTTTTTTTAACTTAAGAACATATTTTTTAACATGTAGGATTTACACTTGCATTGGTATGAACTCATATCTGGATCAACTGTCTTTTATTATATGGTGCACGTTCAGTGTAAGACTATGCAAAGAAATTAAAGTTGTAGTGAGCTTCTTTTATCTTAATCATATTTCAGTAGCAATGAAAAAGCAAAATTTTGGCTTCCATAAATCAGCAGAAAGCATTCCATTGACTTAGGCAAGACTTTGATTAGCCTCATTTAAGCTGCAGCATCTGGAAAGTGTGGGCCAGAAACATGAGATAAAAGAGAACAAAAGGGTTACAGAAACATTGCAGTTGCAGGAATTGCAATCCCTTTCATGTTACTTGGACTTCCTGTACCTTGCTTGCTCTGATTAAAACTGCTGGGTTTTGTGTTTGTTTTTTTTTTTCCTTATGTCTGAATTAAAATGTTGATTGCAAAGACTTTGGGTATATTTACAGTGGGGACTGCACTGCAGACTGCACTGCAGCTCAGAAATGCTAAGTCTACTTCGAAGTTGCCTGGCTTAGATGCTGCCAGCAGTGTGTCCTGAGTGACCCAGAGCTCACTGCAGGCTCATTTTCACCCAGTTGTCACCAAACTGCTGCCTAAGCCTGGCCAGCTCTGTGCTCATCCCCAGGCTCTCCACACAGCAGCCAGCAGTGTGGGCATCCTCTCTGTGGAAGTTTCAGTGCTACTGATAGTTTAAAGGTGGAAAGACCTACTGCTCTCAGATCAGGGAAAAAAAGAGGATTCTTTTTGTGTGTCTGCAAGAGGGGTTCACTTCAAGGTCGGGTTTTTTGTTGTGACAGTATGGTCCAGTCAGCATAAAAATGTTTCTGTGACTTTGATAGGATGGGGAACATCAAGCTTTAGGGTTAAAATGGGAAGAGGCTGTTTCTGAGAAGCGATGGGGATGGAAGTTGAAGTTAAAAGAGCAAAAGAAAGCACAGAAATCCTGCCTTCTCCCCTGCCCTGTTCTCCCATGAGTATCCACCCCTCTGTCCAGCCCTTGTGCAGGTCAGCAGGAAGGCACAAATAGCATTGACAGCTGAAGTCTAGGCTATTGTGCCTTCCATTTTCTTCTCCAATAAAGCTTTTCGTGTAGGGGGAAGTTTTTTAGTAGGGAACCTTCTGGCTGTGTGAAGAGAACGTTCCTTCAGTGGTGGAACAGATATTAAAGATTTTACGATACGTGTGGTGCTTGGGGAGATTTGCTCAAATGAACTCTTAGTCCTGTAGAAGTAGTTCTCTGATATCAGCAAGGACTGTGTTTAGGGTTTAGGATATGCTTACAGCATATCTCACTTTAATTCTGTTTAGGTTCAGAACTGACATGAGGCTTGGGAGAAGGATACTGTCTGCAGTGAGACATTGTTCTCCCATGAGGCTTGGAAAAAGGATGCTGACTGCAGGGAGCCACGATTCTCCTGTGAAGCTTGGGAGAAGGATGTTGGCTGCAGGGAGCCATCTCTCTGCCACTTGTGGTGTGTGTTTTGGCCACTCCTGGGAGATGGAAGGGGGTGCCAGGCCTGCAGTGGCAGAGCTCAGTGTGTTCAGGCTCTGGAGCAGCAGCTCTTGCTGCAGGTGGCAATGGGGACTCCTTGAAGTTGCCAGTTCTCAAGAGCACTGACCCTTCAGTGCTGGGCAGTTCTTACACAAAGCTGACACTCGGCACGGGGCTTGGAGCTCTCCAGCTTATTGCTGCTTCTCCACCTATGGAGGCGACCTTGTTGTAGGCACTGTGCTCTTAGCATCTGGGAGTCAGGCTTGGAAACACTCTTTTTTCCATTTGGCCTCTGGAACAGGGGAGCAATTGCTTAGTACTGAAGGCAAAGCTTTTTAGTTGCAGCATTTGCAGAGTCTCATCCTTTCAACAAACAAAGGTTTGTATGGCTGCCCTGGAAATGGGAGCTGGCTCACAGCACTGGCACTGTTGGTTTGTCATCCATGAACCCGTCCAACCAGTCTCTCAGTTTTGATCAGCTGCTGCTTTGAATTGTCTTTTCTAATCCAAAATTGGGTCAGGCTAATCAAGATGTTACTGACTGTACAGTGCCTGTAGATCAGGAACTGGTGAAGTTGAGAAGGCAACCACAGAAGTCATGAAGTGCAGTTCTGCTTTGAAGTTCACCTGGATAATTAAAATTCTTCTTTCAGTGCCTCTAGATGATAATTTTATGTAATGATCTTTGTTATATAAGCAATTAGTTAATTAATATCTTGTTTCTTTCTAATAGAGAATTCCAGACATCACTGACACAGTGGCAGAGAATTTAAACTCATGCTTCTTACCCTAAGCAACGTGTTCTTATATGATTAATTCTACATATTCCCTCTTCAGTTATGCTCACATGCACTGTTCTCCTCAGAAGCGAGGTAGGACTGGGACAACTTGGCACTAATGATCACATTTTTATCTCAAGACTGTAATGTAAAGTAATGTGGATGGGGCCATTATCTTAATGCAGAAAAAACCGACGTGGACATGAGCCAGGCAGCAAAGGGAAATAGTAGAAATAGTTTCACTGTTTTGACTGTATTGCTTTGGAGCATTAATCCCATTGGAGCGGGATCTCTGTCAATCTGTAAACTCGTTACTCAGCTCCAGCGAGCACCCTGCTAATAGGAATTGTTTGGGATGGATGGGTTGGAGGGCAGTCACTGCCCTGCAGTTGCCTTTGAGAGGTTTAGTAGACTAAACTTCTGAGGTCTAGAGGGCAAAAGCACACTAGATGCTTGTGGTTTTTGCTTTCCACTTCAATTCTCTGCTTGTACAAGTGGCTCATTTACAAAGATGTTCTGAGGTTTAAAGTTTAACTGTTCTAAGATTAGAGTCAAGTGAAGAAAGCTGGAGGAAAAGGAGTGTAGCTGCCCCTCTAGATGCTGCCAGCTGTCCAGTGGCAGAAAGCTTGACTTGCTGGGAGAGTTGCTGGGTTTCTTTGTTTAAATTCTTCTCCTTAGCCACATGAGCTTGGTTTGTGGGAAGAGACTATTGCACAGTCATAAGACTCCACAGACAGGCTATAAGGAGGGAACCAAACAACAGCATGACTACCAAAAATACCCTGATGGCTAGGAAGGTCTGCTTTATAACTTCTGTTGGCATTTTCTGTAGTTGGCAGTTATTTCTATTTGCAGATAAGATTGTGTCTGTGAAATCTGCAGGATCCAATAGTTCTGCTGGAGAAAAGACACAGATGTCTTTTGATTTCTGCTTACTGTCTGTCTTCGTCTAGAGTAAGCATTAAAGAGGAGCTTCCCAGATGCCACAGTGCTGTTTCCAGCACAGTGACCCTGCTGTGGGCTTCAGTGTCAGCCCTGAGAGACTCTGAGCCAGCAAACCTGGGGCTCACCGAGGTGCTGCTGATAACTTGTGTTACAGACATAGGTTAGGCTTTGCCTTTGTCCTTCCAACAGCCCCTTGTGAAGGCAACTAAACTCTTTAAGAAGTTTCTAAATAAGTGAAACAGTGGTAAGACACCTAAGGGTCATTATGTGCCCTTTGGGGTTACGTTCAATTACTTGTGTTTGCTTTTCCCTTGACTAAGAAGAAGGGGATGCTGCTGTTTCACCAGAGGTCAGTGGCAGCTGCAGGTTCTTATGCAGCTGGAATATGGACAAGCTTTCTGTTTCTCCTTCTTGACCCTTTTAATGCTAACAGGGAACAGCAGTTTTGTATTCTCTCTGATCATCCTTTCTGTTGGAAGTCACATGAAGATATTTCCC